ATTACTCTTCCCTCATTTCATGGCAAAGACAATGTTGAAACATATTTAGATTGGGAAATGAAAGTTGAGCAACTTTTTTCTTGCCATGGAATAAGTGAAGAGAAAAAGGTTTCTTTGGCAACCCTTAGCTTCCAAGGGCATGCTATGTATTGGTGGACCTCCTTGGAAAAAGAAAGAAGATTTCATCATGAGCCCCCAATACAATATTAGAATGAACTCTGTAGTGCCTTAAGAAGGAGGCACATTCTCCCATACTATGACCGTGAGCTTATGGATAAGCTTCAAAGGTTGAAACAAGGGTCTTCAAGTGTGGAGGAATATAGGCAACAAATGGAGTTATTCATGATGAGGGATGGAATAAGGGAAGAAGAAAGAACCACCATTGCTAGATTTCAAAGTGGTCTCAATCTTGAAATAAGAGACAAAGTTGAACTTTTTTCTTATAGAGATTTAAACGAACTTGTTCAACTTTTTTCAAGAGTGGAGCACCAACTCAAAAGGAAAAGTTTTAAAAAAGACTCCACTCCCTCTTATTACAAGAATTTCAAGAAAGAGGGATCTTCTTCTAAACCTTATTTCAAAGAAAAAGAAAAAGAACAAGAAAAAGGAAAATATTCTCTTAAAGCTCCTTCTAAAGAATCTAAGTCATGTGACATCAAGTGTAGTTGAAAATTCAAAAGAAGACAAAGAGCAAGAATTGGAGTTGAAATTAGACTGTATTTTCGATGATTCGCCTTTGGGATTCGAAAGAGCAACCAATGAAGAACATAAGCTAGAATCCCAAGACCCACTTGAAGAAATTAATCTGGGAACTGTCGAAAACAGGAAAGTCACTTATGTTAGCAAATTCTTGCAAGGGGAATTGAAGGAGGAATTAATTCGAGTTTTGCATGAATACAAAGACTGCTTTGCATGGGATTATGATGAAATGCCAGGGTTGGATCGAGAATTGGTAGAACATAGGCTACCTATGATCCCTGGGAAGAAACCTGTCAAGCAAAGCCCTCGAAGGTTCGCTCCTGAAGTAATCGAAAAAATCAAGGATGAAATCGAAAGATTACTGAAAGCAAAGTTCATTAGAACTTCAAGGTATGCTGAGTGGATCTCGAATATCGTGTCTGTCATAAAAAAGAATGGGAAACTCAGAGTATGCATTGATTTTTGAGATCTCAACACAGCAACCCCAAAGGACGAGTATCCTATGCCCATTGTTGAAACTATGATAGATGCTGCTGCAGATGCGTTAGGTGTCTATGAATGGGTGATGGATTCATTTGCGATGGTATTCGAGTCTCGAGGAATATGTTGTAACTCAACTTCATCAAACGCATTAAGTAACTGCACAGCTCGAGTTTTGAATTCAATTAATTTTTCGTTTAAACACTTATACTCTTGAGTTAATTGTTTGATGACTAGTTGTGAATCACCTCGAATTGATACGTTCCTAGCACCTAACTCTTTGAGAATTTCGAGTCCCGTTATTAGTGCCTGGTACTCAGTTTCATTATTCGAGTATCCTTTGTTTGTTTTTAATGATAACTTAGTCGGGAATCCTTCTGGAGAAATGATTAAAAGACCTATCCTAGTGCCTAATTCGTGTTTCGAGCCATCGAAAAATAATTGCCAGGACTTGGTGGTTAAGAAAGTAACTTCTTCAGTTTCTTTCGAGTGATCGGCAAGAAAGTCTGCAATTATTTGTCCCTTAGTTGCTTTTAACGGCTCGAAAGTTAACGAGTACTCAGTTAACGCAAGTGCCCATTTGTCAACTCGAGAATGTAAAACAGGTTTA